GCCCGGTCTCGTCCCCCCCAGCCGGGCCCGGTCTCCTTCCCCCCAGCCGGGTCCGGTCTCGTTCCCCCCAGCCGGGTCCGGTCTCGTTCCCCCCGGCCGGGCCCGGTCTCGTTCCCCCCAGCCGGGTCCGGTCTCGTTCCCCCCAGCCGGGTCCGGTCTCGTTCCCCGCTCCGGGCCCGGTCTCGTTCCCCCCAGCCGGGTCCGGTCTCGATCCCCCCAGCCGGGCCCGGTCTCGTTCCCCGCTCCGGGCCCGGTGCCGCCGCTTCTCTCCGTGTGTTGTGGCGGAGGTGAGACGGGGCTAAGGCGGCTGGCCGGACACCGGCACCGGGGCTCCGGGAGACTCGCGCGGGTGCCGGGCGCTGTCCCTGCGCTGTCCCGGGGCCGTGACCGCCCGCACCGGGCCGTGCCTGGTAAGACCCGCAGCACTGATGCACTCTCTGGGCGTAGTTACAGGCAAGCAAGGCTCGAATTCCCACCGTGAGAAGTTAACGATCGTTTTGCTTTGGCCCTAACATCTGTAACATTTCTTACAAAGGGCATAGAAACAAAACTGATATCGGTAACATCAAATTCGTCTCGGACTTACGGACTTCCCGGACATAGGAAAAGAGGATTATTGCAGTACGCGGACAGGAATTAAATTCTACAGTACAAATAACTTCAGACAAGTTTTGTTTGACCTGCTTATACTTTTTGTCGTTATGCATACAGACAAAGTACCTTTTATTGTAATTTCTGTTCAGCTGAAATTGTTTGAGAGGTTGTGGACTAGAAGAAAATAAGTCACAGATGAGAATACTGTTCATCCCCTACTGTATTATACATTATTCCAAAGTGCAGCTGTAAAGTCCACGTAAAAACAGAATGACTGAGGAAGCGGGAGCTCAGAGCAGCTTGCCGCACAGGTTTCCTTTCCTGGATGATTCTGTGGCTGATGGAGGTACCAGTGGAGGAGTGGGGGAAATGACACTGTTGCACGGAGTTCCATAGAGCAGTAGTGACAAGAGGGCAGGAAATTCCATGTCCTGGCCCTGTGATGATGATGCTGTCTGCTATCTGTGTTCCTGACAGTATGGATGCTGCTCTTTCACAGCATACCTAGAAGAGATTCTTATGTTTAAAAACGGGGGGTATCTTTGCCTAATCATTTAGTCACTAGAAAACAAAGTAATTTCAGACAGCCTCAGTTGAAATATCTTCACAGGATGATATATGTTCTGGGAAAGGCCATATTTAATATTTTCTATTATGATCCTTGGCACAGTAGGAATCTGCTAATGGTGCAGAGCTAAGAGTGTTTATTGTCTAGAGCAGCAACAAGAGAAACTGTGTGACCTTGAGAATAGTGTGACAGAAATGTGAAGAAATGTAAAAATTTGGTTTCTAACTGATGTCTTCCTGGGAAGCCAGTTAACTTCAGCTACCAAGCACATAGATGAG